GGTGCCCCCCAGCCGCGGCGCTGGGCAGCCCCGGCTCCCGCTGGCTTCAGGCCGGGTTGCGCTTCTGCAGGCTGAGCTGCTTCTCTGGTCATTCCACAGGGCTGAAATCACTGCTTTGGGTGGAGGTGTCTTGAGACAGAGCTGAACTGGGGGAGAAGAGAAATATAAATAATGACCCGCAGGGGTGGCACCGCAGCTGGCAGCGGCGGAAGCAGCAGTGCTGGGGCCATATCTCAGCCGCCTCCCTTGTATGTCCCGCGAAATCTGGAGGGCGGCTGGGCGGCTAGACAGCTGCGCCTGCTGCCTGCTGCATGGCCCAAACGCACCAGGTTTCCTTCCTCCACGATTACCCACCCGAGGCATAGTATTAGTGCTAATTAAGCACAAGAGTGAAGAGAGAGAGAGGTGCTGGACACACTAAGTGATAACATCTCTTGGTTTACTAAAAGTGCATCTTTATAATTGTGTATTATTTATGAGACAAAGTAGATTATTCTGAAGGACACAATGTTAAATACTTCATCATGTACCTTTTTTGCATTTTGCATGTTATTTCACTCTCTTTTTCTCCACCAAAATACTACTGGAGAAGGGAGAACAGGATCAATTTGAGTTAACATTTGTGAAGCTCAGAGGAAAAAAAATTGAGTCTTCAGAAGGATTTGGATGGAGGATGTGGTTGGACTTGCATCATTGGGAATGACACTATTTATTCCAAGGCCCTTTCCAAAATATACATGCAATATTTTGTATTTCCACTTTAGGACCCCAAAGCGCTTTGTAAATATCAGTGCGTTTATCTTTATAACACACAAGACAGCAGGTCTTGAAAAATCTGTTGATTAGTGACAGTGGGAAGCTTTCCTCATGGAGAAGTAAATATATAAAACATTCCAGGCCTTATGATTGGAAAGATGATCTGCTGAATATAAAATAATGCAGCATTGTATTCCTGGGTCTGCAGACAGACAGCTGTAGTGCCTCTGTGGCTGCTGCTGAGAGGTTGCCAAACACCAGTGAGATTAACAAAACTGCTCAGTTTTCTTGCAGCTATTCAGCGTCTTGTGTGTGGTAGAGTGACACTATCAAAATCATGTCCATTTCCTGCAGAGGACCACGACTGGCAAAGCTCTGCCCAGCACCAGGGGCAGACACTGGAGTTATTCATGACCAGAGGGAGGTTCCAAGAAACGAGGTGAGGGGAGGGGCAGGGGGGCAGCCGCCTCTTTTCCTCCCTCATCATATAAGGCTTAGGGAGAGATTGTGTCTTGGAGACCTTTCTCTATCCAGGAGCCAGGAGGTTTTGGCAAACGGGTACTACGAGAAGTTTTGCTTTTCATTTAGTTTGGCCGGTTAATAAACAAACTTGAGTTGGAATCCAAATAATTTTTGTAATATTTGCGTTACGATACTGAACATGCAAACCTGGAAGATATTAACTGCAGCTCTCTAGGCAGCCTGGGGGCAATGCCAGTCTGTCGGCAGTGGCTTCCAGTTATGCTCATGCATGCTTTGGAAATGATGCTCACCCTCTGGAGAGGCTGATGGTAAAAACTCCCGCCGGCCAGTGCGCGAGGCAGCAACTGGTGTCTGCCTCAACGGAAAGCGCTCAGCTATCCTCCTGCGTGGCGGGAACTGGCTTGGGGCAAGGAGTTAGGTACAAACGGGGAGAATATCTACCCCGACTGAACGGCTAAAGGCTGTGAACCTCCAGGTATGTGTGCGTGTCTGGAAGGGGGATATAGTATCTAGAGAAACTGAATTATTTAGAGTTGACTCAGGTTGGAGGGGAAGAGGCATAGAGTCAGTAATAATAAAAGAGGAATGGCTGCAAAAGCACATCCAGGATTTCTTCGCTAATGTAAGAAACCGCGTTAAGCAAGATTCATGGTTGGAAAATAGGCTATATGGTGCAAAGCACCTAAGGACAG